CTGAGCAAACCCAACTCATCCCAAAGTGTGGCGAGGGCCGCAACCTCCTGAGGGGATTCACGGGTCCAAACCGGAACGAAATCGTCGGGAGGAGGGTTATTGTGGAGCAGAGAAGCCGGCTCGGCGAAGGCCATGTAGAGCTCCGGAGGAAAATAGGGCAGAGGATCCCAATGGCCACTGCCCGAGAGCTGCAACCGGGAAACATCCAATGACCTAAAGGGGTCCAGGCCTTGAAAGGCTTCGTTGTGCATAGGAACCGCAGTGCCTGATTGAACAGCATAAGCGTCCCCCGTGGCGACAGCAGAGGTCGCAAGAAAAGTCGTGAGCTCAGAAAGTCGTGCAATCAATTGTGGATTGCGGCGGCCCGAATCAGAGAGAACAAACTCCCCAACTGAGGCACCGAACGCCTTCAAAAGACGACCAAGACGCGCAACAAGGCTTCGCTGTGCAGCGTTGCAAGGCCGCTGGAGTGCAGCAGGAGGTATTGGCACAAACCAGCACGGGCTGACCGACTGTTAGATCCTAACCGACTGCTCCGTGCTGTCCGGTTGTTAGATTTTGCTGTCCGGCTGTTAGATTTTTATGCGATCTGCGATTGCAAAGTTATGCTCCCCAATGGATGGGTTTGCACTCAAAATGTATAGTGGCGGAGTTATTGTCTTGTGGTGCCTGCTGGATGTTGTGGCTGGGGCGGTGATCTTTGGGCGTGGCTGGGTTGTTTTTGTATAGTTTGTACAGTTGAACGTGACTTGGCGCTTAATTCGGCCTCTGTGCAAACCAAAGAAAAACACCCTAATCACCCTAGTTATACCTATATAATATTGCACACACCATGCTCGATACGTACTCATGCATAATTCACGAAATAGAACATGTATAGTACAACAAACCACGAGTGAATAAGACAAACGACGAGAGAGATCGAAGAGAAATTCGAGATTGCCTGCAGGAGCATTGCAGCATGCTGCATGTGGCTGTGTGGTTTTTGCCTGTGTGGCCGGGCTGATCGACTGCCACAGTGTTTGGTTCGAGAGTTTCGCATGCAGCAACATCTGCAGGCAGAGAGCACTCGAGGCCTATACATTTCACGTCCAGCAGGGTGCCGGGCACTTTAATTTAGTTGCCATAGGTGTATATAGCACCGTAGTCTCCTCGAGGGGCCATGGATCGAAATCAGAAAGTTCGCGAGTTGGCAAACCTTCTTTACTCTAACGTCTGTGCCGGAGATTTGGAGCGCATCAGGACCACGGGTGCCCTGACACCGACAAACAGTCTCCGGCACAGGGCTACGCGAGATCGGCTGCGGTTCGCCCGTGATCTTGAAGGGAGGTGGTTTACATTTCAGCTGGTGCAAGATGCAGTGCGGTTTCTGCTATCCGATTTTCAGCTGGAGATACCATCCACAACACCGGGTTTCTCAGAAGAGAATTGGGTTTCGCAAAGCAGTACCAGGTTGTTGCACCTTTTGCAAAGATCACGGCGAACCGTGGCGGGCGACGCCATGGACACTGCGGAAACGCAGCTTCTGGATGAGATGGAGGATGGCTTGCACTATTGAAAACTCGAGTTCGACATTGAATGATGTATCGTTGCAACACCAATTCATGTTTTCTGCGCAGGACTCCCAGGTGTATGTGGACATGCAGGGGTCTCCAACGAATCATCCCGAGGTTTCTTGGCTTATAAGTATGCCACAGGACATTGCATTAGTTCTGTGCTTCAAAACTCAGCTTGTACACATCAGGCTTCGCAGGAGGTCGTGCGGAAACGATCTTCTGGGGATCTGAGTGATCCTCGCCAGCAACCCCAGGTACCCAACCCTGCCCAGCCCTAAACTCATAACTGAAGTATTCGTATGTACGTATACGCACGGGAACAGTTCTTGAATAAATGTATTCGAGGTGGGAGAAATCCAGCCGGCGAAGCGCTTGAGGCTGAGGGCCAAAACGTCACTTGACTGAACCTATATATATATATATAAGACCAACAAGTGCAACGGTACAACCCTGACATTAGTTAATAACCAGCTTGATCTGAGGCCAAGCCGGATCTGTATTCCAGATGTTCCAGATGTGGATGCCGCCGCCGCTTGTCCGGAAGTGTTGTATATATAATTTGCGATTCTGATGCATAATTGAGGTGGGTGGAAATGATGATCATGAGTATGACGAGGGTGACCACAACGAGGCGGATCTTCCAAAAGATGGACCAGATCTGTATGTGTCCGCAGCTCCTCACGAGATTACGGCGGCTTCGAAGTGCAATGTGTGTTTTCGAATCGTGCATGTGCATACGTTCTGTGCGGTAGGTCATACATGTTCGATCTTCGGTGAAATAAGGATGCTCTGCCAAGTGTGCCCCGGTACGCATTTTTAATGCGTGTGAGTCAGTGCGCTGCTTGATATGGTGCGTGGCAAAGTTTAAAGTTATGTAGTACATGATTTTCTTGGAGCCAATTATAAGGTTTCTGGGTGGAATAAGAACGAGAAAGAGTCTGAAGACTACTATGCTGAGGACCCATGTGCTTCCAATATCAAAATACAATATACGGCCCCATATAAATGACCCAGAACCTATAGTTTCGAGATCTCGGCAGGATGGATCGGACTTCAACTGGGAACAGGCCCATCAGGACTGACGGAGCCATGCGCCTTCATAATTAGTTTAAGCGTTCCGTATATATTGTATGTATGTATGTATGTATGTATGCATGCATGCATGCATGCATGTATGTATGTATGTATGTATGCTTATCTGTATGTATGTATGTATGTATGTATGCATGTATGTATGCTTATCTGTATGTATATATA